ATATGGCAGCCCCTAAATGTGTTTTTTCTTACTCACATGAATTAATTACGCAGTAATCATAAGTGAGACACGACGTTCATGTTCATTACCTCACAGTCTTTTTTTTTTTTTTTGGTGAAAAATATAAAATAGTTCATGGTTTGTCACTCAACAAGCTTGAGCCCGGATGGTCTTCAATTGTCTGGAGCTGAAGGACTGTGTTCCAGCTCCCAGAACCACAACACTAGAGAAAGACACGGGGTGCGGTCTTCTTCGATGAACAGCACAACAGCACAGATAAGTTTTAAGAGTTAAGATTCCCAAACCTTCCTCTCTAATCCTTTTTTTCAAAGCGTTAAAATCCTTTCTCTTTCCTTCCCTCTCCCTCAGCTTCTTTCTTTCTTTTGAAGCAGGTGGTGAGAGGGCACATCCTTGCCTTGCTCCTGATCTTAGTGGAAAGTTTCACGTTTCTCACCACGAAGTAGGCGCTTAGCTGTAGGTTTGGGGAGATATTCTTGGCCACGCTGAGGAAATTCTCCTCTGTTAGGGTTTTTAGCTTCTTGTCTTTGTTTTCGTTTTTTTAAAGACTTTGTAATTTACTTTTTATTTTTTTTAATGTTTATTTATTTTTGAGAGAGAGAAAGAGAGAGAGACAGAGTGTGAGCAGGGGAGGGGCAGAGAGAGAGGAAGACAGAATCCAAAGCAGGCTTCAGGCTCTGAGCTGTCAGCACAGAGCCCAACGTGGGGCTCGAACTGACACGGACCACGAAATCATGACCTGAGCCGAGGTCACACATTTAACCGACTGAGCCACCCAGGCGCCCCTAAAGACTTTGTATTTTAAATTTTTTTTTTCAACGTTTATTTATTTTTGGGACAGAGAGAGACAGAGCATGAACGGGGGAGGGGCAGAGAGAGAGGGAGACACAGAATCGGAAACAGGCTCCAGGCTCTGAGCCATCAGCCCAGAGCCTGATGTGGGGCTCGAACTCACGGACCGCGAGATCGTGACCTGGCTGAAGTCGGACGCTTAACCGACTGCGCCACCCAGGCGCCCCAAGACTTTGTATTTTAAAGCAGTTTTATGTTCACAGCAAAACTGAAAGACAAGGTGTCTCATCTACCTTCTGTCCCCACACATACACAACCTCTCCCACTAGAGTGGAACTTTTGTGGCAGCTGATGAACCTATATTGACACATCACAATCAGTAAAAGTCCGCAGTTGACAGGAGGGTTCACTTTCGGTGTTGGACATTCTATGTGTTTGGACAAACGCATAAGGACACGCACCTGCCAGTATAGCATCACAGAATACTTTCATTGCCCTAAAAACCCTCTGTGCCCTGCTTATTCATTGTTGCCCTGTCGCCCTGGCAACCACTGATGCTTTCACTATTTCCATAGCTTTGCCTTTTTCCAGAATAGTTGGAATCATATAGTATGTACACTTTTTAGATTGGCTGTCTTCATTCAGTAATACGCATTTGACAAGCATCCACGTCTTTACGTGGCTTGATAGCTCATTTTGTTTTAGCACTGAATAATATTCCAACGTTTGGATGTACCACTGTTTATCCCCTCACCGCTTCCAAGTTGTGGCAATTATGAATCAAGCTGCTGTAAACATCCGGGTGCAGGTTTTTGTGTGAAAATGTTTTCTGCTCTTTGGGGTGAATACCAGGGAGCAAGGTCACCGGATCCCACGGTAAGAGTATGATTAGGTATGTAAGAAACCACCCACTGTCTTCCAAAGTGGCTGTGCCATTTACACCCCAACCAGCTATGGATGAGTTCCTGCGGCTCCCCATTTGGTGTTGGCAGTCCTCTGGGTTTTGGCCATTCTAATGGATGCGTAGTGATTAAAATTGCCCTTTTCTTAGAAGTAGTCTTGTGTAATAAGCAAAAGTGCAATATCTTGTGCACATGTGGGCACAGCTCCTGACCTGCCCCTCGACGTATGGTCATGCTGAGTGACAGCAACTCTCTTTACCTCATTTCCCAACTGTGTGCAAAAAGGGACAGAGCTAGAGCTGATTCACCAGCCTGTCTTCTGCCAGGGCATTCTACTAACCACTTTAGGTCTCAAAAGTTACTCCCTCACCCATCAATTCATTCAACTCACATGTATCGAACGCCTCCCACGAGTCAGATGCCTTCCTGCTCAACTTTTTTAATGACGAACTGAATTTATCTGGTTTTAACACATGTCCATTCCTAGGCAGACATTTTATTCACTCCCTTCTCTGTTGTCTCCATTCTGGCTTGGCAAGGTAAGAAATCACGTGTATGTCCAGCTCAAGCCAATGAGGAAGAGAAGCGGGGCTAAACGGGGCTTGGGAAGACCCTTGGAAGCATATTCTGAGAGCAGATTTGGTAACCTCGCTATGGTGTCTACTCACAGAATTATGAGGGGAAACCCAGTCGGTAGTCGAACCACCATATCACAAAAACTAGCTTGCACATTGATCTTGTATGTTCTTTAAGGGCCTTGTGACAATACATGAGCAAGGCCTTTCTGAGTTCGAATATTGGATCTGCGCTTACTTTCTATGTGAACTTGGGTTGTTTATTCAATCCCTCTGGATCTTCACGAGGGTTGTTGAGTTGCAGAGTTGTCTGTGAAGAAACACAATAAGGCCGAACACACACGTATGACTTACCTGGCACATACCAGGTGTCATTTGTGATCATTCCTGTATCTCCAGGAACCAGGTCTCATTTTTCTGTGACCCCCCAATACGCACAGTGCTCAGAGAATATGTTTTATTTTAAACTAAATGGATTTCTGCCCTGCTTAACCCACTATTTGGATCGGGTTCTCTTCAATGGGAATTAAAAATGTCAGTGCTTACTTTTTTATATTCTCTAAGTGTCTCTAATGCCTTTCCCCAAACATTAGAATCATGGCTAGTGTTTGCTCCTAAAACGCAAGGATTTTTAAGCTAGAAAATCCAAACAAAGCCGCAGGAGATCTTGGCTTTGTGGTTGGGGGTCTCAACTGGGGAGAAAAGACAACTTCTAAATTACAGCATTGTTTGGCCAACGTGGGACAATTTCAAGGCTCTTTCGCGGGGCATTTTCTGGGGGTGAGAGAGAAGACGGGACTTTACCCTGAGCTGGTCATGAAGTCTCTGCAACCCACCCCCTGGAGGCATCATCTGTACTAAGACTGCACAAAGCACAATGCTTTGTGAAAACCAGGGCATGCTTCTTAAGGGCTTGGAAGGATCTTGTCAAGATTCTAGTGTCATCTCGCCCAAAAGGATGTGCACGGGTGAGAAGTATCTCACTTCCTTCGGAAACTCTGCCTCACTTTCTCTACCCATCAAATGGGATGTCTTTGCCCCATCCCATCCCTAGAATGTTCTGAAGATACATTCAAACCCATACATAAGAAAGAGCTCTAAAACACACGCATGAAATATCTCCTCCATTATTCCAGGTGAGGCAACAGGGCAGTGTTTCAAAGGACATGGACACCAGGCTGGAGAGAATTAGGTGTGAAACCACTTACGCGCCTCCGGTTCTCATGTGGGAAGTGCAGACAACTACCTTATAGGGGAGACGCCAGGACGAAGTGAGGTATGCTGACAAAGTGCTTAGCATCATGCCTGCCAGGGAATACTAACATGGTGTAAGAATGAGAATAAGAATAAGAATAAAATAAGAATAAGAATAAGATATATGAAATGTTTTTTATGTTCCAGACATGGGATCAGATACTTTGCCTGCCTTATCCCATTTATTCCTGATACCTCCCCTGAGATTTGCATTGGTCTGATTTCCGCTTTACAGAGTAGGACACTGAAGTCTAGAAAAATGAAATAACTTTGCCCAGATTCAAACCAGGTGGGCTGATCACAACATGCAGCTCAGGAGAAAGATACTTCAATGAAACACACCATTTCCCCCCCCCCCCCCGTCCCTGTTAGAGCCCAACCCCGTGCCTATACCTTTTCCCTCTGCAAATCTGCAGTGGAGCCAAATCCCCCCAATCTAGATCCAGTGGTGCTGATGATTGGAGCCTCACTATCTCAGACTGTCCATCCAGCAGCAAAACCCAATAGCCCTGACATTCTTTAAAGTGACCCCAAGGGTTTTGTGCCCTTCAAGATGGTCAGGAACAAGGAAGGACCCGGGAATGGTCAAAGAGTAGAGGAGACTAAAGACAAATAACAACGAAAGGCAACGTGGGATCCTAGATTGGATCCTGGAAGAGAGAAAAGAACGCGGGGTAAACACCGGTGAGATTCACACAGGCCGGCCATTTAGTCAATAGTATTGTCCTGGCATTAATTTCCTGGTTTGGCTATTTCACTGTGATCCCCGAAGATGTTAACTTGAAAGGGAAGCCGGGCGAGGGGGGAGATGGAAACTCTCTACTTCTACCACTTTTCTATGAATCTAAAAATAGTGCCAAGTACAAAGTCAAAATGAAAAATGTCCAGGCAACAAAGGAAGTTTGAGAAAATACCGAGAAGAGAGAAAGATCTTTCTCTAGAAGGGAAGGAGACACACATCAGGGATCCCCTGGGGTTTGCTCTCCAAGGAACTCACATTGGCATCAGCAAGCCAGCCTGTGGGCGCCCTCCCGGCCTGGAGGCGCAAACGTTCCCACATGAGAAATTTTTCTGCTTGTGCCCAACGGCTGTAACCTGCACTAGGTCCAGGGTCAGCTTCCCAACCATTGACTCCATTCCCTCCAGCCTCAGCGAACCTGGAGCCCCCAGGTTCCTTGCTCAAATCTCCCCCTTCCTGTCTTAGGTATTTATTTGCTATTGTCTATCTCTATCACCTAGCCGCAAATTCCCTGAGAATGGGGCCATGTGGCTTTCTTTGTTCAGTGTCATACCCCAAGAGCCCAGCAGTGTCTCGCACAAAGTAGGTACTTGATGAACCCGATAGGACGATTTTTCATTTACAAGCAGCTGCTGGCAGTTCATAAGGTCCTGCCACAAATCTGACCGGTGCCCCCAGCAGCCCAGTGAGGTGATTGGAAGCTGAGACACCAAGAGATGAGGCCAAAGTCACACAGCCAAGGAGGAGCCTGCACTCCAGCTCAGAGCTTCTGACCCCCCAGTGCTGCTGGCTTCCCTCAAACAGCATCAGGTAAGGTCGCCATGACCAAGTGCTGTTCAACTTCCAGCACTTTCTGCCAGACACCTGGTGAGGTGGCTGCTGATCACAGCCAGACGCCAGATCCCTTCTTTCCTCTTTACCATGTGCCAAAATGTGTCTTCGATGCATGAATGAGTTGAGCTGGTGTCTTTTTCCCCAGCAAGCAGAAAAGCGTCTCCCCTCCTTTCACAAGCTTTCCAGAATCAGCATCATTGCACTGTAAAAGTCCCAGGACACTGCATATCATAATGTCTCGCCTCCCTGGAGAAGAGGGCCCTCTATTCTTAACTCGCCCTCATTCTCATTGTTCCCCGGCTCAATGGCATTTATTAAGGCAATTTATCACAGATGAATAGGTATCTAAGCAATGAGTCTCAAAGGCAGGGACTCACTTTTTTTTTTTTAAGTCAACAGATTCAGTGGTCGTCTCCTTAATTGGTACTGACCCTGCCCTTTCTGAATAGTGGGTCAGGGCACTCCTTGAAGACTTCATATATTAGAAAAAAAGTCAGAAGCACCCCTGAAAGAAAAACTCCAGGGACACCTGGGTGACTCAGTTGGTTAAGCGATCAACTCTTGATTTAGGCTCAGGTCATGATCTCATGGTTTGTGGGATCGAGCCCTACACTGGGCTCTGTGCGGTCAGCACAGAGACTGCTTGAGATTCTCTCTCTGCCCCTCCCGTGTTCATTCTTTTTCTCTCTCTCTCTTTTCTCTCTCTCTCTCAAAATTAAAAATAAAGAAAACTTAAAAAAAAAGAAAAAAATTCTAAGATTAGACGGATATGTCCATCCTACCTCCTGCCACCTTTGACCGAGAGCCTCTGATGAAGGGGCAATGCCAGAGCTTAGATGAATGAGATGCTATCAACTGGTCTTGACCGGCTGTCACTGGGAGGAAGCACTAGAAGGTGGTAGTCCAATGATCTACCCCGTCTGAGTTTTTAAATCAGCACCAACCTATAAACTATCACTATGAAACTGCACACCAGTTCCCCATGCATTGTTTCAATGTCTTTGCTCAAAGTTCCCATTCAGATTCCACTGTCTTCAGTTCATAGGTGAGGAAACGGAGACGTGGAGAGAGAACATGACTCGCCCAGGCATGCAGGAGAGGCACCAAGATGGAAGCCTTGGTTTTTGTGTGTGTCCTTCTGAGAGATTCTTGGTCTCTTTGGGCTGCTATAATACAACACCACAGATGGAGTAGCTTATAAATAACAGAAATTTATTTCTTCCACTTCTGGAGGCTGGATGTCTCCGATTTAAGTGCCCGCATGGTCCAGCATGATTGCATTCTGGGGAGGGGCCTCTCTCTGGTTCATAGATGGCACCTTCTTGCTGCGGGGCTAAAGACCTCTGCAGAATCTCTTTTACTAACACTGTTAACGGAGGCTCCACTCCCATGACCTAATCATCTTGCAAAGACCCCCACCTATGAATACCATCACGTTGGGGGGTAGGATTTCAACACAGGAATTTTACGGGGACCCACGCATTCAAACCATGGCAGACAGCATGAGTTCTGGAATCAGACGGCTAGCATTTTTATCCCGGGAGCTATGTTCCCGACCTGTGTGGTCAGTCCTGGTATTTAACACTGCTATGCCTCAGTTTCATCATCAGTGAAATGGGGATGGTAAAAGTATCTAGCTCAAAGAAGACAGCACATACAAAAGGCTCAGTATAGAACCTGGATCAGACAGCAGTCGGTTACTGTCGGCTTTCACTCCTCTTCTTGTCAGTACTATTTTCTCTGGGTAACTGGCCCAGAGTAAACAGGATTGTAGACTTAAGGAGCTCCATGAGTCTGTACGAGATGGTTACTGGTCTGAGGGCCCACTGTGTGAGCCAATCAAGTTCTTATCCTATTTACAATAAAGGAAGGCTAAGGTTTTGCTCTGTGGTGGTTTCTCCCTAATTTCTGTGGGCCAACCTTATAGGCGAACTCCTCCTCTGATAAGGTTTACATAATAGTGGAGAAACTAAGCTCTCTCAATCTTAAAACACAATTTCTTTTCATAGAATTTTTTTTTAACATTTATTCGTTTTTTGAGAGACACAGATAGACAGAGCATGAGTGGGGGAGGGGCAGGGAGAGAGGGAGACACAGAATCCGAAGCAGGCTCCAGGCTCCGAGCTGTCGGCACAGAGCCCGACGCGGGGCTCGAACCCACAGACTGTGAGATCATGACGTGAGCTGAAGACGGGTGCTCAACCGACTGAGCCACCCAGGTGCCCCATTTTTCATAGAACTTCTTTTACAGAAAGGCGAAATAATTCAGTTGTGATAGAGGGGTGCAGAATCAAGCATGTGTTGGATACCTAAATCCAGCTACGCACGCTCTCTCTTGAGATAATTCAAAAACAGCATACAATTACACCCGGCGCATCCCTCTATTGTATTCTATAGGTTATGTGTAGCCTGTATACACTTTACGGTGACACACCCAATGTTATACACATCCAGAGTTATAGCTTGACAGCCTGATTTCTGTGCCTCCTCACTGGGCAATTTACAACAGTTACAGGGGTAACTATGACCTTTTGAATTTTGATCGGTCTTTTGCACCTGCCTCCCCTCTATATAAGAAGCAACACTCCTATGCCCCACTGTGTTTGAAGTGCCTTTCTGTTCAGGAGCTCAAAAGCCATTGCCTCTGAATGCCAAAATGATGTAGGATGGCAGGGAGCCAGTCGCCTGATTTCATAGATGGAGTAACAGGCCCAGAGAAAAGGCCGTCTCTCTTCCATCCCTGATGGTGGTGAGTTAGCAAAAAAAAACCCAAGAGAATGCCTAGGTGAGCCGACACGGGAGAACAGCCAGTGGCCCCAACACTAACAAATGGGACACACTTGCCGTTCATTTTCTAATGTAAATTGTAGAAGGGAACCAGGGAACGAAGGGGCAGGGAGAACAAATGGGATGGAATCAGAATCAGATTCAAGATAAACTGTTAATGGTTAATAGGGTCAGCCACCCACACAGCAGCCAGACCTGGAATTTTCCACTCTCACTCCTTGCACGGCTTTTACTAGAGACCACATGTGCGTTAGTCCACAGTTCAAGGAACCAGTTCTGGTGCCACTGAAAGGCGGCAGAAGTAACAGGAGTCACTTTCCACTCTAAAAATTGCACGCCTTCAAATGGAATACTCCAGAATAAGGGTGAGGCTCCGCATCGAGAGATGGTAGTGAATAATCATATCCCTCTCCCCCCTCATCAACATGGCCAACAAGTAAGTATCGAGGGTTAACGTCAGCCCCATGCAAGGAGTTTGAGAATTACATCTCATTAAACTTTCATGACTGCCTTTGAAATAAACATGGTATTAGCCTTATTTCAGAGATGAGGAACCTGAGAACCCAAGGGACCAAAATCCTGACCCAAATCACCCAGCTAAGAGGAGAAAGAGCTGGGCTTGCAGCGTGTTAGCCCCGAAGCACTGTCATGCCCTATGCCAACACTCTTTAGAAAATTTAAGAGGGGTACCTGGCTGGCTCAGTTGGTAGAATGTGTGACTTTTTTTTTTTTTTTTTTTTATTTTTTTTTTTTTAAAATTTTTTTTTTTTTTTGGGAAAGAGAGAGACAGAGCATGAATGGGGGAGGGGCAGAGAGAGAGGGAGACACAGAATCGGAAACAGGCTCCAGGCTCTGAGCCATCAGCCCAGAGCCCGACGCGGGGCTGGAACTCCCGGACCGCGAGATCGTGACCTGGCTGAAGTTGGACGCTCAACCGACTGCGCCACCCAGGCGCCCCAGAATGTGTGACTCTTGATTTCGGGATTGTGAGTTCAAGCCCTGCATTGGGTGTAGAGGTCACTTAAATTTTTTTTTAAGTTTACTTATTTATTTTGGGGGCGGGGGGAAGAGCACAAGTAGGGAAGGGGCGGAGAGAGAGGGAAAGAACGAGAATCCCAAGCAGGCTCTGCGCTGTTAGCACAGAGCCTGACCCCAGGGCTTGAACTCACAGACTGTGAGCTGAAATCAGGAGTCTGACGCTTCACTGACTGAGCCACCCAGGCTCCCCTTAAAAATAAAATCTTAAAAAAACGACTACAGTATCTAAGAATACTTTAAAATTCAATTTGATTTTCATTTATTTTGCATGTGCCTTGTAGGTTACAAATCTCTTTCAGGCATGAGCGTTCCCCTGTCAAAGACAGGGAACAAATAAAGAAGGCTCAGATCAGTGTGTAGGAGACCAGTTCCAAAGGAGCAAGGTGAAAGAGGACAGAGCACATGAACTCAGCCGTGAGTCCCATGTTATGCCCTCCCCAAAACACACCCACCTAGAAAGGAGGAAAGAAAGGGTCGGTGTGTAAAGATGTCACAACCTAGGAGTCCTAAGGGTAATGTCCATCTGATATGGAGTGCGTCCACCCCTGGGCGGAGGAAAGACAGAGAGGGAGGAAGGAGAGGATAAGATTAGTGGGGAGGTGTGCCTGGACCCAGACTCTCTGCCCACGACCACACCTGACAAGCACCTTCGCAGCCACAGAGCTCCCCACGGGGACAGCCTCAACACAGCACATCCTCAATTCTCAGATTCCACCTCCCGCCCCAAAGTTAATATAAAACCGGTCACTTGGACATATTGTACTTCTCCACGGAAATGAGGGATTCTATTTGAATACAGTCACGGCTGCAAATGTTCTCTTTTTTTTTTTTTTTAAGCTCCATTGACTATCAGGATATTCAAGCCCTGAAGTTGCAATGGAATCCTTGTGGGGAAAACTCAATTAAACCCACTACAGAATGCACACAGAGCAAGGAGGGAAAAGAACAAGAAGGGAAGAAAAAAAAAAGAAGACATTTCTTTTGAATAATAAAGCTCCAGATTTAAAATTAGACTGTACAATAACAGCCCTAATTCCTGGAAACCCAGATGGGGAACCAAATACATAATATATTGAGAGGAATTTATTTTCACAGACTTTGAGGATGGAATACGGCTTTTGGCACCTCACGCAGCCTTGGCCAGTATTTCTGACGGGTGGAAGAGGCTGTTAACCACCTTTTCATGGAAAACATACCTCCATCTCGAGTCAGAGGTTAAGTTATTCTCTGGCCAAAAGAAGCAATCCATCATGCTTCATTATGGGGCAGATCTCACAATGAATAGCATTTGGCAGAGATGGATAAGTTAATATGACTCCATTCAGCAGCGCTGTAAACGGATCTGTCACCTCCAAGACTGGTGGAGGCGGTCAGACGCCACTTGACGTCCTGGGCAAAATTCTGGCTGCTACAGGGCAGGAGCGTGGCTGCTGATTTCACACCTGAATAACAGCCGCAGCACAAATAGCAGCCGAGCATTTATTTAAGCATCTACTAAGTGTCAGAGAAGAAATCTAGGCTCTATCACTTACAGACTCTGTGATCGTGGGAGGGTGACAATCTCGAGATCAGTTTCTTTATCAAAGTGGGGGTCATAGGGGCGCTTGGATGTCTCAGTCGGTTAAGAGTCAGACTTCGGCTCAGGTCACCATCTCACGGTCCGTGAGTTCGAGCCCCGCCTCAGGCTTTGTGCTGACAGCTCAGGGCCTGGAGCCTGCTTCGGATTCTGTGTCTCATTCTCTCTCTGCCCCTACCCCGCTCACGCTCTGTCTCTCTGTCTCTTAAAAATAAATAAACACTATGGGGCGCCTGGGTGGCGCAGTCGGTTAAGCGTCCAACTTCAACCAGGTCACGATCTCGCGGTCCATGAGTTCGAGCCCCGCGTCGGGCTCTGGGCTGATGGCTCAGAGCCTGGAGCCTGTTTCCGATTCTGTGTCTCCCTCTCTCTCTGCCCCTCGCCCGTTCATGCTCTGTCTCTCTCTGTCCCAAAAATAAATAAACGTTGAAAAAAAAAATTTAAATAAATAAATAAATAAATAAATAAACACTAAAAAAATTTTAAAAATAACAATAAAATGGGGGTAAAATCACACCTACTGTATAAGGCTGCACATTACATAAAGCTCTTGAGAGAGTGGTAAGCATACAGTAAATGCTTCACAAGGGTTAGTGGCTATTATCTTAACCATCTCAACCAGGGCCCGGACTACGGGAGGCAGAGGAGTCTTGGGTGCGACGTCTAAGGGGCATTCGCTTTCAGGCCCACGCATGGTGCTTCTGTAAACGTTGTACCCCGGATGCCTCTCTTGCCTCACCCTCGTCTCCACCCAGATCTCAGATTCTCTGATGCGGGAACCTGACGCTCAGGGAAGTAAAGTAACCTGCCGGCCGCCACCGTGCACAGCACTGGCAGACCCTGGGCTCTCAACCTCCCCGGCCCACTGCCTGTGGCTCCCTCTTATCACACCACCTGAGGGGCAGGGTGAGGGTACAGACGAGCTGTCAACTTGCAAATTCCGGTCAGCATCAGCGTTTGGAGCCAAAGGCAAAAACACAAAACAACAACAACAACAACAACAACAACAACAACAACAAAACATTCCGATCAGATGGAAAAGCTTGGCCGGCCGAACAGATGGGTTTCTTTGTTGGGATGGAGCACGACACCCCAACATTAGGAGGCCTCCGCTGAGTCTCTTTCAAGGCCCAGTTTAGGTGCTAAATAATGCAAGATTGCTTACCCTTGAAAAGTGGCCAGAGTAATGAAAACTGCATCTCCCTGGTCAGAGGGAAAAAAAAAAGGAAGAGATACATGATTCTCTAGCAACACCTTCCTTATCAGCTCTGTTGGGGGAAGGAAAAAAAAAAAAAAAAACCCACGGCAAATAAATGACAAAAGCAGAAGAAGCATCAATCAGGCTGTTGTGGGTCTGCCAGGCCCGAGGCTCAGCCCAGCTCCAGGCAGGAGGAAGGGGGTGAGCAAGGCTGCAGATCCGAACCTCAATGCTCCTTGCAGCTTTTCACGGACTTTCTCTGTGATTTAGGCTAAATGGCTAGCCTCCTCTGTGTTTCCTAATCTCTGGCACGAGGCATTGCACACACAGCCTCAGAATTCCCCTCCAGCTCCAATCCCCACAAGCACTGAATTCCTACACAGAAAAAAGAAAAAAAAAAAAAGAATGTCCTGACATGGAATCTTCTCTCACGTCCACCCTCTGTCATCTGGAAAATTTTCTAGATCCTTCATCTCTGATGTCTCACCACTCCGACTTGTGTGTGTGTGTGTGTGTGTGTGTGTGTGTGTGTGTGTGTGCTTGATCAGTGAAATAGATAGATTCTGAATAGCCACAGTGAGAAATTTTACCCTTTCAATATACTTTTCTGAGTGTGTTAGTGAATGTTAGCAAGCTTTCCTTACCTACGGACATCCCCACTTAAAAGCTTGGTCACACACATCATTTCTCTGTTCTTACAACTCCACAGATAAAGAATTGAGGACAGAATGATTGTAATGGCTTCCTTTGACCATCCATCCATCCATCCGTCCATCCCACACTATTGTGACTCTTCTAGGCACTGGACTCTGTGCAAGGGGCCAGAAATTCAGAGATAGATGAAACACATGCCATGCAGTGAGGTCACTGAGTACATGTATTGTGTTAGAACTTAGTCCAGATCCTGTTTTACACACATGTAAGCTCTCTGACCTTCAGTCATGCATTTTCACTTCTCGGAAACTCAAGTAACGTTTCTATAAAATGGGGGTAATATCATGTACCACTTGGAGAGCAAGCGACCATGAGATGATCTAATAACGAAAAGCACTTAGCACACGATCTGGGACACAGGCAACATAAATAGCCACTTTTATTATGCGCTTCAAGAACGTTCTGAGCCGATGGCAAGGCCAAGCGCGGAGAATGGTTATTTTTGTTTGATTATTTTTTGTTTCTTTCTGCAGAGGGCAGATCTCCCATGTACTGATGCATCTTGTGGCAGCCAAGAGACGCAGAACAGACCACCTGCATGGCTCTCCATGGAGGGCAAAGTTGGGGAATTGTGCAGACCAGCCTCCAGTTCCAGGCTTGGCAGTGAATCTGAGGAATACTCACCAACTCGTATTTAAAAAAAAAAAAAAAAAAAAGCTCTGTTTCCTTCCTGAATCAAAGGAAATGCTATATCCCTTGGCAGTGCAGTCCGAATAACTTCAGCGACTCCCACAGTGATTCAGACACCGCCCCCTACAACAGGCTGTTGTCTTTCCTCCCCTCCCGGTGCCAAGTCCCAGGGTTTGCCCGGCCCGGCTCGGGAGTCCCCAGGCCCAGCTGCTCGGCCCCAGCGAGCCAGACCGGGAGGTGGATCGGGGCGACCAGCCTGGGGCAATCTGAAAAAGTCATCTTCCAGGAAATTCCAGACACAAGGCGCCCTGTCACCACAGTGAGGGGGGACACTCACCAGAAGGGACTGCGTCAATCCCCTCCTGCAGTCTGAGCACTGTCGGCATGCAACTCGGCACAGAAGGTTTTGTCATTTGGACTGTAATAAACCCCACTTCCTGAACTCTGTGCCCCTCCGGGTTCTACATCAACCACACCGTCCGTCCCTGCATGTACCCCTGCCCTGTCGGGGCCCAGTGCACCTGCAGCCGCCATCGGAGGCCTCAGGTGCCGCTCACGTGTGCTAATGAAAAGTGCTCTCCGGCCACCTTGGAGGACAGGGGCAATGTGCTCCAGCTAAGGCAGCGGGGCTCAACCTTGACTGCACCCGAGAATCCCCTGGGAGCTTTCACAGTCCTGATGACCAGGCTGCAGACCAGACCAATTAAACTACAGTCTCTGGGGGGTAGGAGCCAGGCATCAGGACTTTTTTTTTTTAAGTTGGCCAAAGGATTTCCAGTGCGCAGTCAAGTTTAAGAAGACCTGGGACTGCAGAGGGCGTCCTTTCTTTTCTCCTTTCCCCCTCCCTTCCTTCCTTCTTCTTTCCTTCCTATCACCCTCTCTCCCTCCTTCCTTCACACTGTTTCCTGAAGCATCTTATTCTATGGTCAAAGCCAGGGTTTACAGACAGACCATCCTCACTTTGAATTCCAGCTTGGCTGCCACTGTGTGTGCAAATCCTTTCACTTCTTCGAAGTTTGGCTTTCCGCATTCTCATAAAGCAGGGAACTTTAAAGGACTTACCCCCAGAGAATCCTTGTGAGGATTAAATATCACAGATGAAGTGTTTACCATAGTACCTAGAAATTAGTATGTGCTCAATGAATGTGCATGGATTTTTCTTCTAGCTATTATTGTAGTTTTCCGAGAGCTATGCTAGATGTGGGGACGACAAAAGAAAGAACACGGGCTTAATGTTTGTTCGCACACAACTGACTCTCTTCCCATTCAGTCCTTAGCTGGAGAGTAGCCTTGCACTGCTGGCCAGGACAGGGTGGACGGAGATTTCTCTTAATTAGTACCTGTCATTCACTGAACACACCCAATGTTCAATCATATCACAACCATACAGGGCACAGTCCTGAACGTGTACCGAACGTGATGTCATCAGTGGCTCTGTGCCAACCCGGAGCAGAAAATGCTATTGATATTTACATCTTGCAGGTGGAGAATCAGAGGCTCAGAGCAATTCACCATTTCACCCATGGTCACATGGGTAGATACAAACCCAAGCTTTAAGCACCACGTGGCTCTTCTTCCTACGTGGATCTGGGGTATGCCTGCAAGGGAATTATGAGGGCTGGCTAGAATGAGGAGGATAAAGCAGGTCCTCTAAGCTGGAGCACATTAGGGGAAGGACACAACCAAACTGGGGTGACGCCACGGTATTGAGGGGCCAGGCACAAAGGAGAATAAGTATGGTAAATGGAGGTGAAGAGGGAGGGGTCTGGATGGGTCCAGGAGTGGGGGAACAGTGATGAGTGGGCAGCGAGTCAATGTAAAGTGTCCAGGGCAGAATGGGATGTTCTCAATTCATAGAAATCTTGGCCAAGGCCGGGCGCCTGGGTGGCTCAGTAGGTTAAGCATCCGACTTCAGCTCATGTCATGATCTCCAGGCTCATGTCCGTGAGTTCGAGCCCCATGGAGGGCTCTGTGCTGACAGCTCAGAGCCTGGAGCCTGCTTCGGATTCTGTGCCTCCCTCTCTGCTCCTCCCCTACTCACTCTCTGTCTCTGTCTCTCAAAAATAAATAAACGTTTGGGGTGCCTGGGTGGCGCAGTCGGTTAAGCGTCCGACTTCAGCCAGGTCACGATCTTGCGGTCCGTGAGTTCGAGCCCCGTGTCAGGCTCTGGGCTGATGGCTCAGAGCCTGGAGCCTGTTTCCGATTCTGTGTCTTCCTCTCTCTCTGCCCCTCCCCCGTTCATGCTCTGTCTCTCTCTGTCCCAAAAATAAATAAACGTTGAAAAAAAAAATTTTTTTTTAAATAAATAAATAAACGTTAAAAAAAAAAAAAAAAGAAATGGTGGCTAAGTCCAATGATCCCACTGTATGTCCAGCTGTATCACCAGTGTAGTTTGCTGAAAATTAAATGGCAAAACACAAGTGGTGAGTACACATCTTCAAACATGCTTTAAATGGTTTGTGTCTGTCAAAAAGGACTTACTTTTACAACAAGGCTCTATTATCCACAGTCTGAGTAGCAATCAATTTTGAGAGTGGAGGGAGACATCCTTAGGGAGCATTGCTGGGGCTCCAACAAAGACGGGCTCAGTTAGAAATGCTGGATGACCTAGCTGGGAACATGCAGACTCTGGGTTTAATTTAAATTCTGGTTTAAATCAGGGCTCTGCCCCTTATGACCGTGTAATCTCTCTGGGCCTCAGTTTCCTCATCTGTAAAATGTTGCTGACCGTGCAGCTGTCTCCGTGCATTGTGGTGAAAATGAAATACGGCCAAGCCTGTCCAACGCTTAGAATGGCCCTCCATACACCCTAAGCACTCAAAAGGGGTGGGGGGTTGGTGGTGTAGGGGCTATGGATTAGTTACCCAGGTTGTCAGACCGGCCACCCCATGCTCAGGAATCGCTCCCCCTCAGCCCAGGCCCCGTTGCTCTTAGATCCCCTTCCATAGACAAGTTCACTTTGCTCCTCTTCCAGAGCTAGCTGCATGTTATTTATTTTGCATGGTATTTGTTTTCCAATATTTTTACTAAGTAGGACAGCTATATCAATGAGGTCTGCTGCTTTATTGGTTGCTAATTGCTGGGGCATAATTGTTGCATCATTACTTGGTGTTCCTATAATTCTCTGCAGCCAATCAAGGTGGCCAACTCTAATTACGACACAGTGAATTCTCAGGCACCAGCCTCCAAATGCTTAAAGGGTTCAGTTTACAAGAACTCTTTCCAGCACTTTTACAAGAAAGGGCTTAACTGACAAAAGGCAAGGAAGTCACGCCAGAAAATAATTTTTGAAAGTAATTTTGTAAGTATACATGCACCTATAAAATAATAAGCATTTTATAATTACAGCGGCATATATATTTCTTGAAAGCAGTTTCTAAGGTCTGTCTCAAGATCTTTGCACATTCAACTTGATCTCTAATGAGACAACAAGAGCTGGTGTTTATAATGATCATAATTCCAAGACCCAGACAGATCTCAATGGGCCTTTGCACACATCAGATACTAGCTATACTCAGTCTAGTTCTTCACTAGCACTGCAGGCGTTTTATTATTTTCAGATGTGTCCTGGAACTCATAACCCACCTATGTCCTCTCCACAAGTCAAGGGATCCAAATATTCAATCCAGGGATGCCTGGGTGGCTCAGTCAATTAAGTGCCCGACTTCAGCTCAGGTCACGATCTCATGGTTCATGAGTTCAAGCCCCATGTCGGGCTCTGTGCTGACAGCTCAGAGCCTGGAGCCTGCTTAGGATTCTGTCTCCCCCTCCCTTTCTCCCCCTCCTCTGTTCACACTCCATCTCTCTCTCTCTTTCAAAAATAAATAAACATTTAAAAAAATTAAAAGAAAAATTCAACCCACTAAAAGCATGACCATAATGGCGGCCTTGGAAGTACTCTGTGTACCGTGGCTTAGAAAGCGAAGTTGTTATCAGTAGTATATCCACGAGTTTAATCGGGCATCATTGGTTCTTTGCTTTCATCTTCCCTAGAGTAAAATTCATGCCTTCACTTTGGCCTCCAAGGCCCTGCACATTCTGGTCCTCCTGACCTCCAGCTTCAGCACCTCCCACCTCACCCCACTCCCTAACTCTGGTCCAGCCCCACCGGCCTTCTTTCTACTCCTCAAACAGACAGGTGGGTCCCCAGCTCAGGGCCCTGGCCCTCGCTGTTGTCTCTGCCTGCTGCTTTCCCTTCAACCCTTCCAGGGTCTGCTCCCTTCGCAACCGTACGTCTCGCCTCCAGTGCTTTCCCCACAAGCGAACCCTTCTGGAACACCTAAATGCCGTTCTCAAACTAAATTTCATATTATTTCTCTTCTATCTTGAATAGCCATTATCGCAAGCGGGTATTATCTTCTTAATTAATTCACTTGTCACTGTTTGTCCCTCCAGAATGTAACTTCTGTGAGGACAAAGCCTTGTTCGCCATGGTATCCCCAACACCTGTAACAAAGATGCTCCGCAATGTGTACCGAATCAACAGTTGTTTAACAAAGAACACGGACGAGTAAGTTAATATACAGCTTCTGCTCCTTTATTTCAACCTTTTCCAATCGGCTTTTGCTTTCCCCAGGATCCGTAAATATATTTATCGATTACTGCCTTATTTCGCATCACCACGTTTATTATTATCAGTACCACTGGTACTCAGCCAACTGCATTTATTGAACATGCACGGTGTAGAGCACTGTGCCAAATGCTGTGGAGGGAAATGAAGACCAAAGGCCATCACCACTTCCGTCAGAAAGCCTTCAGTCTAATTGGCAATGAGAACAAGCAAATTTGGACAACATGAGGGCAGGGAAGGGATGTAGCAGACCCCCCTGCTGTGGTCTGAATTGTGTGCCTCCAAAAATTCATGAGTTGGAGTCTTAATGTCCAGTGCCTCCGAATGTGACTATTTGGAAATAGGGTCTCTACAGTGACAATTAAGATCATACAGGTGAGCCCTAGTTCAGTGTGACTGGTGTCCTCAGAAGACGAGATCAGGACACAGAGGAAACACCACGTGAAGGCGCGGGGAGAACATGAACGTCTACAAGCCAAGGAGAGA